ATATATATAAAATTTTAACCAATGACGGTGATTTAGTGGATCAAATAATAATAGTAATCATAATAATAATAGTAATAATAATGTGGTAAATGTTTTGAACGAAGTTAATAGCGATGATTATAATAATAACAAAATATTGTTAATAAGGCTTATATAGGTGATAAGGATAACAAAGTTAGTATATGCATATATGTAGACAATTCAATAGATAAATAAATTAGGTCAAATCAAATGGAACGATAATCAGAGTTTAAATAAATATCATAAAAGTACGAAGGAGAGGGATGATAAGAAAGGGTGGGAGGGTTTTGAATAGAATTCACCTAGGCCAAGGGAGAGACAAAGGTAGAACAAATTTCTTTTGTATACAAAGACTAGGATTGTTCTCTCGAATTCCCATAGCTTCGGCTAAGTGTAAAAGACGGGTTCTGATTCCGTTCGAAAGACTTGATGGAATGCGGTAAATAACTTTGAAAGCACTATTTTTGTCCACTTGGTGACCACTATCAATCAAATGAGCCAAAATAGAACTTCGTATGGACTTTATTTGACCTTTTCCGAACCATGAAGGAAGATGCTCATTAATGCGTTTGTTAAGCTGTCTAGTTGTTCGGCCTATATAGCTTTCTCCACAGGAGCAACTAAATTTATAGATACACATGGAAGTGGCACAACTAGGTAACTTATCTTTCACTTGAGCAATCAAAATTGGCCGGCTGGAAAATGGCAAACAGAGGGTGGCGGCAGTATAAGTCCGTTTTATCGCTCTCGATAATCTCTGATGTAAGACTTCACTAGCCACGTCCCCATTAAATTGCAGTTTGATGAACAGTTGTTTCTTTTTAACTGTTGTCGGTTTCTCTTTATTGTACTTAGCATTCATGTGTCTCCTGACAAATCTACTAGGATAATCCATTTGGACTAACGTATTTTGGATGTATCCTAGCTCATTCTCTAGAGAGTCATCTGTACAGATGCGTCTTGCTCTATTCGTCAGGCATCTGACCAAATTGATTTTGTATCGGATTGGTACATAACTGAAGAAATGTGTATATTGTCCTACAGATGTAGGTTTTCTATAGACACCTCTCTTTAGTGAACCATCCTCTCTTCTGCTCAATTGGACGTCAAGGAACTGTAGTCTACCATCATCTTCTTCTTCACAAGTGAAGATGAGCGATGGATGTGTATCATTAAACTTTTTTAACATTTCATTCTTGTCAGCTTTCACATCAAGAATAATAAAGGTATCATCAACATAACGAAAATAAGAATCAGCTTTTTCTATTACTTTTTTCAATGGACCATTTTCAATCTTGGCAAGAAAGAAATCTGCTAAAATTGGCCCCAACGGAGAACCCATGGCAATACCGTCGATTTGCATGTAGTAAAGGTTGTTAAATATGAAATGTACATTCATAGTACATCTTAAAAGCAACTCTTTCAGACTACTAACCGGTATTCCGATATCGATCTGTTTTTCTAGTATCTGTTGGCATATGAATTCCACAGTCTCCATAAGTGGTACATTGGTAAACAGTGATGCTACATCGAGGGAAAGCATTTGCTTCCCATCAGTGGTTAAAATTTTTATATAGAAGTCTATGTAAATTAGAGTAAAGCCTGAAGATCTAATTGAAAACAATATTGTTCGCTTATATGTCTTGTTCTAACATTATAAATGGGAATATCATCAAATTGCCCTAAGGAACGAAGATAAACCGTATACTGCTTTCGAGGCTTGTGGGAAACTTTACCAATTTTGCCGAATTCCTTTTGGTGTTACCAATCGCGTAGCTTGTTTTCAACGCATTATCGATGAATTGATCAGTAAAGAACAACTCACAAGCACGTTTGCCTACATTGACAATGTCACTATCTGCGGCAAAACTCAGGAGGAACACGACAAAAATCTAAACAAGTTTATGGTAGCAGCACGCAATTATGGAATAACCCTTAATGATTCCAAAAGTGTGATCTCAAGCAGAAGCATACAATTACTCGGTTTTGAAGTTTCAAAGGGGGTTATTAAACCAGATCCCGATCGGCTAAAACCTCTTCGTGATCTAGAACCACCCACAGATATCAAATCTCAACAACGGGCCGTTGGATTATTTGCTTATTATTCACAGTGGATCCCTCGCTTCTCAGATAAAATCCACCCATTGGTAAATAATCGGATTTTCCCTCTTGATATCGAAACTCGAAATGCCTTTGACAAACTGAAAGACGACTTAGAACGTGCAGTCGTTGTGGTAGTTGATCCGAAAGCACCCCTTGTTGTTGAAACAGATGCTTCAGATGTCTCAATTGCAGCTACATTAAACCAGAATGGTGAACCTGTCGCCTTCTTTTCTCGAAGCCTCGCTCGAAGTGAGAAACATCATTCATCGGTTGAGAAAGAAGCCTATGCAGTGGTTGAAGCAGTTCGTAAGTGGAAGCATTACCTTCTCGGAAATCACTTTAAACTTGTCACTGATCAACGTTCAGTAGCATTCATGTTTGACAAGATTCATAAAGGCAAAATCAAGAACGATAAAATAATGCGTTGGAGAATTGAGCTATCCCCTTATCAATATGACATCATTTATCGTCCTGGAAGGGATAATCAAGCTGCTGATACATTTTCCCGTAGTTTCTGCGGTTCCTTGCAGTCAGTGTGCGACTTGAAATTTCTCCATGACTCTATGTGCCATCCTGGAGTTGTCCGAATGATGCATTTTGTACGCTCGAGAAACCTTCCATTCTCCCTTGACGATGTGCGCAATGTAACCAGTAAATGCGTGACATGCTGTGAGTTAAAGCCTCAATTTTACAATCCCTCTAATTTCAAACTCATAAAAGCAACCCAACCTTTTGAAAGGTTAAGCATCGACTTTAAAGGACCTCTACCGTCAGCTAGCCGCAATCACTATCTGCTCACGCTGATCGATGAATATTCTCGATTCCCCTTTGCATTCGCCTGCCCCGACATGTCGTCTCAAACAGTAATGAATTGCCTTTGCCAACTGTTTTCGATTTTCGGTATGCCTTCTTACATACATACCGACAGAGGCGCTGCTTTCATGTCTACCGAATTACGGGCATTTCTTCTGGAGAAAGGCGTAGCAACCAGTCGTACTACCTCGTACAATCCTCAAGCCAATGGGCAGGTCGAGCGCCTCAATGGAACACTGGCGTGCCATCACTCTAGCATTAAGATCACGGGGTCTACCAACGGCACAATGGGAGTCTGTTCTACTCGACGCCTTGCATTCCAACGAACGCCACGCCACACGAACGACTGTTTACCTATAACCAAAGATCGACATCTAGGACAACTCCTACTTGGCTCACTGTACCAGGACCTGTACTTCTCCGGCGGAGTGTTCGTCAGTCCAAATTCGATCCTCTGGTTGAAGAGGTGGAGCTGTTGAATTGTATCCCGCAATTTGCTCACGTTCGCTTCGGTAATGGACGTGAAGATACAGTTGCTCATCATCTGGCACCCAAAGGCGAAGATACAGATCAAGTTAAAAATTCAATACCGGAGGGCGACGCAATTCCTGAGCAACAACGGACTTTCAAGCCGCAGTGAATGTTGTGAACTTTTCTTATAATACGTATCTAATCATATTCATATCTCTACCGCTATTAACACTCTTTTTCCCCTTTATACGTTTAAGCCATTCCGGCTTCATTGTAAAATGAATAAAGCCTAAATTCTCGGTTCGTTCGTCTTTTCAAGATTCAAGCATCACTCATCGTTCTAAGACTCAGTCACCTTCTTAACAGAGCTATCAGACACTTATGACGATTAACTGTTGTCTGGTTCCCCAGTTTGAAGTGGCCGCAACGAGATACAAAACCAGTGTTTGTTCGCTGAAAATTAAGTGCCCATACAATGAACAAATCATTTCATAGAAAGGATTGGGTGCTCAAAATTGTAATAGCAAATCTTTGGAGATGTAGCATATTTCCTTAAGCACTCCCGGATGGAATTCCTATCTATTTACTTTAGCCTAGGCAGATGGGTGAAATCATCAGCACTTATACAATATATATGTGCTCAAAGTCTGATAAATGAAAAAATTCATCACAGCACCCACAGGCTTTTCTGATAAACTTACGTGGAACGATCAGCACACACAATCTACAGCAGTGAATGTCAACAGTACGGAGCACCACTAATTGCATCGTATAAACTAAGAATTGAACAGTTTTGATGAGAGTTTATTTGAGTGATTTGGATTTTGGTATTTAAAAGTCTATTAATTAACAAAATAGCCTCTTGTTTAGCAACCACAGTCCCTTGAACTGTAGAAACGTCACCGTCCAACCTCTTTCGTTTTTCATTCACCAGGAAAGACTAAACTCGAACATATGAGTGGCAAAACTTTCAGTTAATTAACATGCTAAATCATGAGTGAGCGCCTGGAGACTACGACTACTCTATCTAGTATAGATGCAAGAAGTGTAGTCTATACACTTGGGAGCCTAAGGTTTTATTAATCTAAGCGACTACAACTAATTCAGCACATCATATTGCTTGTTCTTCATTTCTGATGTTTATAAAATGAGCAAACGGCGGCATAGGCTCTTAGTGATTCAATTACCTTAAGTATAAGTGGTTTTTAGTGGGTCTTTGCAGCCCAAAATAGTAGAATTATTTTGTAACTTCCAGCAATACAGATACATATGCATGTACATATTGTGTTAAGACTGATTTTACTTTTCTCAGGACAAATGTCAAACAAATGAATGATAAATCATTACCAGGAAAATTCGATGGGTGACACTTATATTTTCTGAGGTATTCAATGAAAGAAATGAGGGGGAATAATCTCTATAAAACAAATATTACGTTTCACTGTGAAGCAATGAGACTTCGTGGTTAATTAAACAAGTGAAATTATTAAAAAAAACCTCCAAATGGAGTATTATCGCGCAATGTTTCTGACAGAAAATCAACACAAACCAAAATCAAATTATTGGGTAAAGTCTCTTTTGAAACCGCTTACCGTCCACACTTCGTAACGCTTACTGCAAAATAGGCGCGGTTATCCAATATCGTTTTTACGAGCTAGTATAAACCAATTTGATTTCTTTGTGCTCGCTTCTTGATTGTGAGGTATAGGTTCTTGATCTTCGGTAAACTTCTGCGTAGCTTGTCCCGCCACTCGACTGTCGTAGCTTTGGTTGACTCCAAAGGGAGTAGTGCTGGGATTAATTATATGTGGTTTGTAGTATGAGGTATGTTAAGACTGTTACTACTGTGATTGGAGTTGATCCTTTCGCCAGTTAGTCCTTCGGTATTGTCGACAAGAGAAAAGAGATAGTAATAATAATAATAATAATATAATAATAATTAGTGAAGCTATTCAGACTAAGAGACAGAAACGAAAATAGGAAACGTAACAACAGTCAGCTCATGAAGTTTGAAGAATAATATATATATCGGTAATAGTAATAATAATAATAGTAATTATAATATTAATAAGTTGTCAGGAGAGTAAGACGGGAGAGAATGTAAAGAAGTAAAATGACGAGTTTAATTATCTACCCTGATTGGTAAATGCGATTTTAAGGAGATAGGCCATTTGGATGCAGTCCTTGTATCGCTGCATGGTTGTCCAGCCTTCGCTTAAAGGCGTCCAAAGACGGTGCCATAGCTACATCTGCCGGTAAGGAATTCCAGGGACGACAAACCCGCAGTGAAAAGAAGTGGGAGCGCACCCGGGTCCTTGCCCTCTGGTGAGCTATCCTTCTGGGATTTCCACGTGGAAGCCTATACCTACTCAATGGCAGAACACCTTTGTTTGGGTGATTCTGGTCATTTGTTATTTTGTAGGCAGTAATCAAATCCCCCCTAAGCCGACGGTAACTAAGTGTGAACAGGCCTAATTTCTTCAGCCTTTCATCATATGGTTTGTTTCGGAGACCAACCACTCCTTTTGTTGCCCGTCGTTGGACTCTTTCCAAGAGGTTGGCATCTCTTCTCAGCATTGGGGGTGCAATAATATTATGCACCTCAAGGTGTGGCCTGACGTATGTTTTGTACAACATTAGAAAGAGCTCAGGAGTGAGTGCACCTAACTGTCTATGCGTAAAGTGTATGACCGCATATGCCCTCGCTACATCCCCTGTGTAATTTACGCTTGTGTCCATTTTTTCCGTTAGAACTAGACCTAAGTCGCGTTCCGACGTTGTGCAGGACAAGCTTTCATTGCACAGGGTGTAACTTGCATTCTGCAGTCTACAGGTGCGCAACTTCACTACTTTGCACTTTTTCAAGTTGAAAGTCATGCCACTGGCCACCGCCCAGTCTTCCAGAAGGTTTAGGTCTTCCTGTAGCCTATCTGAGTCCTCCGGACACTTTATCGCCCTCCATATTTTTACGTCGTCAGCGTACAGGAGAGTCGGGCAGCTCAGACGGCGTGGTAGATCATTGATGAAAATCAAAAACATCAGTGGTCCTAGGATAGAACCCTGCGACACTCCTGATGACGATCTGTGCCAAGATGATCGGACTCGGTTAACCTTAGTGCAAAATTGCCTGTCGGCTAGGTAGTCCTTCAACCATGACAGAAGTGGCTCACCTATGCCTGCCTGGCTTATTTTATGTAGGAGAAGGTCATGGTGAACAGTGTCAAATGCCTTCTCAAAGTCTAGGAAGACCACATGGACTGGTACGTTCAAGTCCCAGCATGATGTCCAGTCGTCCCAAGCTGACAGTAGGTTAGTGACGCAGGATCTGCCTTTTCTGAAACCATGTTGGGCTTCATGTAGTATATTAGTCCTATCGAAATATTCCCTGATGTGGTCGTCAATAATACTTTCCAGTACTTTTGATACCACTGGGAGTAGAGCTACTGGTCTATAGCTAGCAGCGTTTTGCCTGTCCCCACCCTTGAAGATTGGAGAAAGGATGGCTCTTTTCCACTCCCTTGGCAGGGTCCCCGAATCCATTGAGTGTTGGAACAAGTCGCACAGGGGTCTACAGAGAGCCTCGGCGCACTGTTTCAGAACAGATGGCCTGATGTCATCACAACCTGGGGACTTCCCAGGTATGAGTCGCTGTAGCTTCCTTAGTACTATTGCGGGGTTTATTTGGGGAGTAGTCGCTAGGTCTTCCTCCTCTGAAATAGTGGTGCCACCATTTTGGTCCGTAACTGTAATATCCACATTGCTGTTTAGCTGTTTAGCGAAGGCTGAACTGAATGTTTCAGCCATCTCCAGACTAGTGAGATATTGACCGTTTGGGCCTACTAAGGCGCATGCCCCTTGGTTTGTCGGTTTTCTTTCCGACATGAATCGGTACAAGTTTTTAGGGTTTGATAGGAGTTTTTTAGCAAGGTTAGCCTGGAATGACCTTCTGTCCCTCCTGACTCTTGCATTACACCGGTTCCTGAGTTCGAGGTATGCATCATGGTCGGTCTGACTCTTAGATACACGCCACGTAAACCAAGCCTTCCGCTTTGCTTGCAGAATACGTTGCGTGCCTCTCTTCAACCATGACGTCTTTCTCTTAGGCTGTGTTGTGACTAAAGGGACGGTATCCGAGATTGCTTATGGATAATCTTTTTTACCACTTCCCAGTGTTCATCCACAGATAGGTCGTCCCATGCTAAGGGCCAGTCTGCGTCGGACAAGAGCCTCCGCATTTCAGCATAGTCAGCCTTGCTGTAGCACAGACATGGTCGCGTAACATCCCATTGCAAACGCTCACGGAGGACAAGATCGAAACCTATGACTGCATGGTCACTGCTTCCCAGAGGAGTCATGATCTGGACCTTTTCGACGAGTAGCTGGTCACTAGTTAGAATATAATCTAGTTTTGATGACTTTCCACTAGGGCCCCACCTAGTGTCGTCTCCAACATTCTCAGTCAGTCCCGTGTTTCGAATAGTTTGCAGTAGGTTTCGGCCAAATTTTCCCTTAGCACACCCGGAGCCGAGGTTCAGTGATGGAGCATTGAAATCTCCAGCTATGGTGATTTGGTCGTAGCCCAAATCTCGTATTCCTGTGATAGTGCTGAGCAGTAGCTGATTGTGCTCTGCCCCACAGGTGGGAGATCGGTAGATGCCACCCAGTAAGTGCTTGGTGTGGCCTACGGTGAAATGACACCATATGGAGTCTGGGAGTTCGATAAGTGGTGGGTCCGTTGCGCGCACACATTTAAGTTGCCTATCAAAGTATATAGCAACTCCCCCTCCTTCCTTATTATCCCTGTCTCTTCTGACCAGTACCATATCACCTATACTGATTTCATTGTCGGCGATAGTGGGGTTTAGCCACGTTTCAGTAAGAATGATTATTTTCAGTTGAAGGTGTGCTTGGAGATTTCGGAGTTCACCTACTTTCCCTCTCAGCCCCCTCACATTGCTATATAGGCAACTGACAGTGAGTCTAACAACCTCAGAGTGTTGTGGGGTAGTTGACGTGAAACCGTCTGCTGGTGGGGGACTTGATGTTGGAACTAGTTGGCCGATTCCGATAGAACCGGCCCGTTGTAGTTTTTTTCAATGGATTTAGGCAGGACACTTGGGAGACACAGACTATTATTCTCAGAGCTGCATCGCTCTAGTGTCACCGAAGCTTGGGGTCGTATTAAAGCCTCAGTTTGCTGCCTCCTTATATTTCTGGGTCTGCTTTCACAGCATCGGATGTGTCCTCCAATTTTTCCCTTGGTCTCATACCACCGTTGAAGTGATATGGACAACTGCTCCGGGGAGTTGAATGTGACACACAGCAGCTTTGGAGAGTTAATCAATGTTAGATGAGCGGGACGGCAAAGTTAAACTTTCGACACCACTAACAACCAATCAGAAAACGACCTTGAACGAACCAATTACATTAAAAAGGCATATATGATGAATGGAAATGTATATTTATAGGAAAAAGCACAGAATAGATAATAAAAAAGTTACATGGTATATCTTTCTCGAACATGTGAGAGAAACATCTCCCAGTTTAGCATGGGACTGTCAATGCTTTTCCATCTGCTATCCTTTCGACGAATCCCTTTCGGAGGGAGGTGTCATACAAACCTATTACCCAAATATTGTTCGTTCGCTAGCGACCACGGTTGTATTTCTTTTTTACCAGCACTGTCTCATCGACACGCACGATAACGTCTTCCCCACCTAGCAAACAAGTGATTTTCCCCATTTTCCATGATGCGATATCTCTGCAATGCTGGTACCACTGAAGTGTTGAGACATGGCTATTCTCCATCTCGGCAGCTGCTGCTCTCACAGCCTGTTTCAACACCCATTAGTTGCAGATATACAAATTCTGGGTTAGGGAGAGATGCGACCTAGTGAAAGTAAGTTCCTACGAAATATTAAAATTATCAGCTTACCCTCTCCAGATGAACAAACCCATCAGTTGGTTTGGTATAGCTTTTTAAAGTAATGATACAACCACACAAACAAATTCGCTCTTTCCGGAGCAACTCAAATCCAGGAAATAGTGAAAAACACTAACCTGTAGCGTTGTAAGGTCACGCATTAGAAATGAATCAAGCGCTATACAACATTGAACTGCGTTCGTGAACCTCATTGGATAATTCGACATCGTTGGTGAATCTCACTGGATAATTCGCTGATTGGTAGTTAGTGGTGTCGAAAGTTTAACTTCGCCAGCGGGACGAGGTAATCGGGAAATGGAGATGGCTCCAGAAGCGCCAGGGGCCATCTGAGATGACAGCCATCTCCATTGCTGTACGTCGTGCATGTGTTTTTCACAAGCAGTGCCGGTTTCCAACTCCGGAACACCGTGTACCACCATAGAGGTGGAAGGCATCAGTTCCGGTGACTCCCTCGCCCTATTTCTGACAGCCCATGGTCTATCTTGCCGCGCCCTTATGTTAGAACTTCTGTCCAGGGCTAGTACTTGAGCCATTAACAGTACTTTTTCAGCCTCTCCGGCAGAGTCCAGTGTAACCCGTAATGGGGGTGGCTTACCCTGGGGCGTGTGGTCACCCCAAATCCAATATCCAATATCCTGATTACGAGCTAGTATAAACCAGTGATTTCTTTGAGCTCGCTTCTTGATTGTGAGGTAGAGGTTCCAGATCTTCGGTGAGCTTCTGTGTAGTAAGTCCCGCCACTCGACTGCTTTAGCTCTGGTAGACTCCAGGAGGAGTGGTGCGGGGATTGGTCGAGATGTGGTTCGTAGTATGCAGTATGTTAGGACTGTATTGCTGCCGTGAGTGGAGTTTGACCTAACTCCCGTTGGTCATTCGGTGTAGTCATAAAAGCAGAATAGTAATAATAATAATAATAATGATAATAAAAATAATGGGTTGTAGTGA